GTGCTATTTAGGACATCTGCCATTCTATGAGTCTGATGAGTATCTCACTTCCCATGTTGGATCACTCTCCCCTTTATTTATTCTATCGGTTAGTGTTGGCAGGTACTAGACTTGTTTATGTGCTCCTTTGACTCTTAGTCCTTTCATTATGATCAATTGTGAACTGAAATTGATCACTTGGAATAGTGAGATGGCATTGGTACATGCCACCTTGATGGGATTGAATTGGAATACCCTGATATGTTTCTAACTCTACCATTTGGGGCAAGTCAGCTTGAGCATGTCCCAAATTGTACATATCTTCCCTCTCTTATTCCCACTCTTATGTTTAACAGGGATCGCATTTCAGTTAATTTTCAACACTTAAGAATAACTGTATGATAATTACAGAATTAAACCAGTCATATTAAGTAGAACAGACAAAAAAAATACTAAGAGGGATAATGTATTAAGTTGTTGATTAACAGTCAGGGTTATGCTGATCAAGTCACCGTTTCTCATAGTGTCCATTTCACTTCAGGAGGTTTCCTTTTTGGTGTTCAGTCAGTTGTCACCGATCAGGGAGAACATATGGTATTTGTCCCTTTGGGACTGGCTTACTTCACTCAGAATGATGTGTTCCAGATTCCTCCATTTTGTTGCAAATGACTGGATTTCGTTGTTTCTTACTGCGGTATAATACTCTAAAGAATACATATCCCATAATTTCTTTATCCAGTCTACCGTTGATGGGCATTTAGGTTGGTTCCAGGTCTTGGCTATTGTGAATTGTGCTGCAATAAACATTAGGGTGCAGACCGCTTTTTTGTTTATCAATTTAAACTCCTTTGGGTAAATTCCAAGGAGTGGGATGGCTGGGTCGAATGGTAGGGTTATATTCAGGTTTCTGAGGAATCTCCAGACTGATTTCCATAGTGGCTTGACCAGTTTGCATTCCCACCAACAGTGGGTTAGTGTCACTTTTTCCCCACATCCTCGCCAGCATCTGTTGTTGGTAGATTTCTGTATGTGAGCCATTCTAAGCGGGGTGAGGTGAAACCTCATTGTGGTTTTGATTTGCATTTCCCTGATTGCTAGTGACCTTGAACATTTTTTCATGTGCCTGTTGGCCATTTGGATTTCCTCTTTTGAAAAATGTCTATTGAAGTCCTTGGCCCATCTCTTAAGTGGGTTTTTGGTTTTGTTTTTGTGGAGTTTCTTGATCTCTTTGTAGATTCTGGTTATTAACCCTTTATCTGTTGCATAGTTTGCAAATATTTTTTCCCATTCTGTCGGTTGTCTCTTCACTCTCCTGACTGTTTCTTTTGCAGTACAGAAACTTCTCAATTTGATGCAATCCCAATAGTTGATTTTGGCTTTGACTGCCTGTGCCTCCCGGGTCTTTTCCAGAAATTCTTTGCCTGTGCCAATATCTTGAAGGGTTTCTCCAATGTTCTCTAATAACTTAATGGTGTCAGGACGTAGATTTAGGTCTTTAATCCACGTTGAGTGGATTTTTGTGTAAGGTGTAAGGTAGGGGTCTTGCTTCATGCTTCTGCACGTGGAAATCCAGTTTTCCCAGCACCATTTATTGAATAGACTGTCCTTGCTCCAGGAATTAGTTTTAGATCCTTGATCAAATATAAGTTGGCTGCAGATGTTTGGATTGATTTCTGGTGTTTCAATTCTGTTCCATTGGTCTATCCATCTGTTTCTGTACCAGTACCATGCTGTTTTGATTACAACTGCCCTGTAGTATGTCCTGAAGTCTGGTATTGTGATGCCTCCGGCTTTGTTTTTGTTGTACAAGATTGCTTTAGCTATTCGAGGTCTCTTGTGCCTCCATATGAATTTCAGCATCATTTTTTCTAGATCTGCGAAGAATGTCTTTGGTATCTTGATTGGGATTGCATTGAATCTATAAATTGCTTTTGGGAGAATGGACATTTTGATGATGTTGATTCTTCCAATCCATGAGCATGGAAGATTTTTCCATTTTTTGGTATCCTCTTCTATTTCTTTCTTTAAGGTTTTGTAATTTTCATCGTAGAGATCTTTAACGTCCTTGGTTAAGTTTATTCCAAGGTATTTGATTGTTTTTGTAGCTATTGTGAATGGGATTGATCTTAGCAGCTCTTTCTCAGTCATGGCATTGCTTGTGTATACAAAGGCTGTTGATTTTTGTGCATTGATTTTATATCCTGCCACTTTGCCAAACTCCTCTATGAGTTCCAATAGTCTCTTAGTAGAGTTCTTTGGATCCTCTAAGTACAGAATCATATCGTCTGCAAAGAGGGATAGTTTGACTTCTTCCTTCTTGATTTGTATTCCTTTGATTTCTTTTTCTTGTCTGATGGCTCTGGCTAAAACTTCCAGAACTATGTTAAATAGCAGTGGTGAGAGTGGGCATCCCTGCCTGGTGCCAGATTTCAGTGGAAATGCTTCCAACTTTTCCCCATTCAATAGGATGCTGGCTGTGGGTTTTTTATAAATTGCTTTGATTATATTGAGGAATGTTCCTTCTATACCCAATTTGCTTAGAGTTTTCATCATGAAAGGGTGTTGAATTTTATCAAATGCTTTCTCTGCATCAATTGAGATAATCATATGGTTTTTCTTCTGCAGTCTGTTAATGTGGTGAATCACATTGATTGATTTGCGAATGTTGAACCATCCCTACATACCAGGGATGAATCCCACTTGGTCTGGGTGGATGATTTTCCTGATGTGTTGTTGTATTCTATTGGCCAGAATTTTATTGAGGATTTTTGCATCTATGTTCATCAGGGATATTGGTCTGTAATTTTCTTTCAGTGCTGCATCTTTCTCTGGCTTAGGGATTAAGGTGATGCTGGCTTCATAGAAAGAATTTGGGAGGATTCCCTCTTTTTCGATTGTTCTGAATAGTTTGAGAAGAAATGGGATTAGTTCTTCTTTAAATGTCTGGTAGAATTCAGCAGTGAATCCATCTGGTCCTGGGCTTTTCTTTGTTGGGAGGGCCTTTATTACTGTTTCAATTTCTGTTTCAGTTATGGGTCTATTTAGGTTTTCGATGTCTTCATGGTTCAATTTTGGTAGATTGCATGTGTCCAGGAATCTATCCATTTCTGATAGGTTTTCCTGTTTGCTGGCATACAGGTCCTTGTAGTAATTTCTGATGATTCTTTTTATTTCTGTGGTGTCTGTTGTTACGTTTCCTTTTTCATCTCTGATTTTATTGATTTGGGTCTTTTCTCTTCTTTTTTTAGTTAGTTGGGCCAATGGGGTGTCAATTTTGTTTATTTTTTCAAAAAACCAGCTTCTCGCTTGCCTGATTTTTTGTAATTTTTTTTGGATTCAATCCTGTTAATTTCTTCTCTGGTTTTAATTATTTCTCTTCTCCTACTAGATTTGGGTTTGGTTTGCTGCAGTTTTTCTAGGTCCTTGAGGTGCGCTGAAAGCTCATTTATTTGGTACCTTTCCAATTTCTTGGTATAGGCACCTATTGCTATAAATTTGCCTCTCAATACTGCTTTTGCTGTATCCCATAAGTTTTGATATGTTGTGTTGTTGTCTTCATTTACTTCCAGAAAGTTTTTGATTTCTCTTTTGATTTCTTGAATGACCCAGTGTTCATTCAGGAGCATGTTGTTCAGTCTCCATGTGTTTGCATACTTTCTGGGGTTTCCTGAGTTGCTAATTTCCAGCTTCATCCCGCTGTGGTCTGAGAAGCTGCATGGTATGATTCTAATTCTTTTAAATTTGCTGAGACTTGATTTATGGCCTAGTATGTGGTCAATCCTAGAGAAGGTTCCATGCGCTGCTGAGAAGAATGTGAAGTCTGCAGATGTAGGGTTGAAAGTTCTGTAGATATCTGTTAGATCCATTTGGGCAATAGTGTCAATTAAATCTGCTGTTTCCTTGTTGATCTTCTGTCCGGATGATCTGTCTATTTCTGAGAGTGGAGTATTGAAGTCCCCCAGTACTATTGTATTGGAATCTAAATCTCCCTTTAAGTCCCTTAACATATCTTTTAAATAGACCGGTGCCCTGTAATTAGGTGCATATACATTTATAATAGTTACATCTTCCTGTTGAATTGAACCCTTAATCATTATATAGTGTCCCTCTTTGTCTCTCTTAACAGTTTTTGTATTAAAGTTTATTTTGTCTGATATTAATATGGCTACACCTGCTTTTTTTTGGTTTCTGTTGGCATGGAATATCTTTTTCCAACCTTTCACTTTCAGTCTGCATGCCTCTTTGTTAGAGAGATGTGTTTCTTGTAGGCAACAAATAGTTGGGTTGTGTTCTGTGAGCCAGTCAGCTAAACGGTGTCTTTTAACTGAAGAATTCAGACCATTAATGTTCAATGTGACTATTGATACATAGTGACTTTGCCCTGCCATTTTCCCGGAAATATTTTCTAGTATATGCTTTGAGCTTCCCATGCTCTTTTACTGGTAGGTGTTCTTCCTTTCCCTTCTTTCATATTGATGGCCGTGTTTCTGTGTTTCTGAGTGTAGCACATCTTTAAGTATCTTTTGCAGGGCCGGACGAGTGGCCACAAAGTCTTTCAATTTCTGTTTGCTATGAAAGGTCTTTATTTCACCTTCATTCACAAATGAGAGCTTGGCAGGATATAATATTCTGGGCTGGCAATTTTTCTCTCTTAGCACCTGTGCTATGTCTCGCCATTCCCTCCTAGCTTGTAGGGTTTCTGATGAGAAGTCAGCTGTGAGTCTGATTGGAGATCCTCTGAGAGTAATCTGACGTTTCTCTCTTGCACATTTTAGGATCTTTTCTTTATGTTTCACTGTGGTAAGTTTAATTACCACGTGTCGTGGTGAGGATCTCTTTTGGTCATGTTTATTTGGGGTTCTATGAGCTTCCTGTACTAGGATATCTCTGTCCTTCTCCAAACCTGGAAAGTTCTCTGCTAGTATCTCACTAAAAAGGCCTTCCAATCCTTTCTCTCTCTCCATGCCTTCAGGAACTCCTAGAACTCGAATGTTGGTTTTTTTAATAGTATCCTGTAGATTCCCAACAATATTTTTTAGGTTTCTAATTTCCTCTTCTTTTCTTTGGTTTGACTGTATGTTTTCCTGTGCTCTATCTTCTAAGTCCGATATTCTCTCTTCTGCTTCACCCATTCTGTTTTTAAGGATTTCTAATGTGTTTGTCATTTGATCTATTGAGCTCTTCATTTCATTTTGATTTCTCTTCACTATAACACTTTCCTGTTCTACTAGTTTCTGAGTTTCATTTTGACTCTTCCTTAAAATTTCGTTTTCACGAGAGAGATTTTCAATCTTGTCCATTAAGGATTTCTGTAGTTCAAGGATTTGCTTTTGAAAACTTCTAAATGTTCTTATCATAAATTTTTTGAAATCCGTATCTTGCATTTCTTCTATCTCATCATCTTCATACTCTTGGCTTGGGGTGTTTTGCTTATTTGGAGGCATCATAGTGTCATCGTTGATCTTGCTCCCTCTATTTCTGTGTTTGTTACTCGGCATAGTTAATTCTTCTTGCGTCACTGTGCTTTTTTTTTTTTTTTTATACTGTGTCCGTGTTAAGTGGACTGCCTGCTGTTGGAGGAGCCTTGGAGGCTTGAGATGGGTGCGGCCTGAGAGCTCTGCCTGGTTCTTCCAGGTTAAGGGTGTGCAAAGGTGACACCCTCAGGTTATGCGTGGTAAATCTCTCTCTTTTTATTTATTTATTTATTTTATTTATTCAGGGGGTAAGTAACACCGCAGGGCATGGCTGTGCAGAATTGATGGTATTTAGCTTCCAGTCTTTGGCTCCTCTGGACTCCCACTGGGTTGCCTAAGCTACTGAATTGTAGTGACTCAGTTCCTTAGCTCTCCCCCATTGATATGTAAATCCAGAGAGCAGGCCTGCTCTTTGTCTCTTGGGAATTCTTCTAGCCTTGCAGCCTTGTAACCTTTGCAAGGTTAGGGGGAAGAGAAACCCCGAAGCTTTTTTTTTTTCCTTCTTTCCGGTAGTGAGTTTGCTGCACTTTCCGGCCCCCCTCTAGATTCTGACCCCCGTTTCCCCACCAATGTCTCGGGTTATTGAGCTCACCTCCCCTTCCAGCGCTGATGTGTGGACTCGGAGCCCTGAGCGTCCCAAGTCTCCCCGCTGTTGTCTGTGTGGCATGCACTCCCCTTGGAGCACTGGGGCTTCTGCTGCTCGGTCCCGCGACTTGGCTTCCGCGCGGTGGGCGACCTTGTTCTCCCAGTAGGTCCTCCGATTCACGATTCCCGTGCAATTTTTTCCTGGTTCTTTTTTCTGCGGCTACCGTAACTCCCCTTTTATTAAATTAAATTTTCCCGGACTATCGGTGCGCGCCCTCACTATTCCGCCATCTTGGCTCCGCCTTTAAAATAAATCTTAAAAAATAATATGTGTGACTGTTTTCTCAGCTTCTACCCACTACCTAGAACTGATACAGCAGTGGTCAGTGCCAGGACTGGTTAGCATTAGGGCCTCTTCTCTACAGTGGCCAAAAAAACAGGCCTCACTGGTAAAAAAAGAAAAATAAAACTAAAATAAAATTAGCTGATATTTAAGGACTCTGAGCACAAATCTAACTGGGCAGGGGGGATAGTAGGGTGGGAAACATCACTATGTCACTAAATCTGTATATAGGAAATACATAAAATGTGTATACCTTAAATAAAACTAAAAAAGAAACAGACCATTTCTGGTTTTAAGGTAACTTTGGCCATGTTTACTCATTGCAAAACCCGTAGTTGTAGTTATTCTAAAATTTATGAGATCTCTATCACACATGTTGCTACTTCTTCACTTTAACTTTTATCAATCCCCAGGCCCACTCCAGCATTGATTGGAGAATGCTAAATGCTAACAGTGGGTTCTAAGCCAAGTCGAAAAGTATTCACTTGGTTACTCAGGAGGTGACAAGTCTTCTTAGAGTGAAGACTGAACAAACAATATTCAAGGAAGTCTAGTTCCTTGGGATATAAGAAATATCTATTTGGCTCCACTCCTCCAGAACAGTTAGCAAACATACTTTTCAGTTGAAAATGAATTATCTGCTCCCTCCTGCTCTCAGCAAAATACCTGAAAGGTTTATATAGGGTTCTGATTCAGGGATGGGAACAAAGAGATTGTGCTTCAAGTAAATTTTCCTGTAGTCAATTTGTTTTTATATTTCTAGTTAGATGACTCAAGGAGCATAGCCCATTCGGTTCTACTCAAATCAGAGGAAGAAGTTACTTCAAGGCTCACAGTCACAAATATCCTCACTTAATGGAACGATAACCCTGTGCCAGGAAAGGTAGAAGAACTGCCAGGTTTTTCTGGATCTTTTGTGATCAGCTACAGCCTCTGAAAAACTCTCACCTTCTGAGAAAAACTAGCTGAACGCACTTGGAGAAATTCCTATCATCCAAGGCACTTCCAATACAAATATATAGAAAACACGCACCCTGTTAGAGAATTTTCTAATGCAGACTTTATGTGTGGATGGTAATTTGAAGACTTCAGAGAACAGGTTCAAAAGTTAATCAAAATAAAAGATAAACTTGTAGATTTCCTGGCTTTCTCTCTTGTGATTTGAGCTGATAATTGCCTGGGACTTTTTGGAAATTTGTTTCTCTGAGATTGAAGTTTCTGATATGCATAACCTAGGATTTAGGCAGCCTGAAGTTGATATAAAGGTAGTAACCAATACAAATAAATTTTAAATTAAAATATAACCTGATACAGGTAATTTTAATTTGATTTCACTTCTCTGTTAGTTACTTTATTAGAGCTGAAAATCTTTGAGGCATGTGAGAAATTTAGAGCATTTTTTTGGCATCGTGTAAGTTAATCTATGCTACAGAAATGACCTTAAATTTCTCTACTGGTGCATTTTGGAATTTTTTTAACTTCAGCATTTTTGTGGGTGAACTAATTCTGGTGACATTACCTAATGGTGACCATGAAGAATACCTTCTATGAATAAATTCTTTATCTTGACCAAATGAATATAACCTGCTCTTTGAACCTCACATGCAGATCCGCACAGGAATTATTATTGCAACTGATTGTTTACAGGTATTTCAAAAAGCTCCTCAGAAAGTAGAGTTAAAAATATACTTCTTGAAATGCAAAAAAAAAAAAAAAACTGTATCCATGCGTTTTCCATGAACTTTTTGGAGACAGCTTATGACATGGTCAAGAATAGAGGGAAGTCACAATACACACAGGAATATCCCAAGTCAGTTGATGTCAGAATCATAAAGTTATAGGATTTTCAATCAATAATTGAAGTTAAACATCATACAAACTGAACTCCAAAGAAACTGAGGCACAATTTTCCTCAGATAAAAAGAAAACTGTCCAGTATAATATGCAATTATTCTGAAAAATGTCTTTTATTCTTAAAACATGTAACAAATTATTTTAAAAATAAATATAGTGTCTTACAGTTAGTTTTGCAAAGTATAGTTGCTTAAATTGGATTTTTGGATGTGCTGGGACCTAGAAAATGGACTCAGCCTCCAAACTTGGGTTTTAGTGCAGCACAGAAAGAAGTGACCTGCCCAAAGCCAACAAGCAGAACTTTAAGGATGGCTTTCAGGCACCCTGATTGGTGGGGAAAATGGGTTTGGGGAAAACACCCAGAGAACTAGAGGGGCAGTTTTGTCAGATTTGCTGCTCAGCAAATTTACAGAAAAAATGATTTGCTAGTTCCTCTTTCTTTCGTGATTCAACATCAGGCACTTTCCCCATGCTTGCATCAACAACTGAACACACAACCTTTTAGTGTCCTGTTTATAATAATCCATTATTTAAGGAGCTTATACATTGCTACAACTACCTTCTCCCTCACATTACTACTGCATGTGGAAGCAAGTACTCAGCAAGCAATTACATTAAGGGACAGTGAGATAAGAACCTTATTCATCTTAAACAATTAGGAAGGAGTATGTCCATCTATTGGTTGACTCTCAGGGGTGAGCTGGTGTTGGAAAATAGAACATTCCTGGAAAGGCAATATTGCAGTCAAAAATGTGTCTCTGCAGAGAAATTTGTGTTCCTCTGGACTTCTGGCTTATTATTTAACCCCACTGAACCTCAATTTCCTCATTGATGAAATACACATTTTCATACTTTCCTGGTTAATGTGATGAGGATTCAAGAAAATATATATAAAGACATAATCAAGCTGGCGTTGTGGCTCACTAGGCTAATCCTCTGCCTGTGGCATCGGCACCCAGGGTTCTAGTCCCAGTTGGGGCACCGGATTCTGTCCCAGTTGCTCCTCTTCCAGTCCAGCTCTCTGCTGTGGCCAGGGAGTGCAGTGGAGGATGGCCCAAGTGCTTGGGCCCTGCACCCGCATGGGAGACCAGGAGGAAGCACCTGGCTCCTGGCTTCGGATCGGCGCAGCTCACAGGCCACAGCAGCCATTTGGGGGGGTGAACCAACAGAAGGAAGACCTTTCTCTCTGTCTCTCTCTCTTTAAAAAAATAAAAAAAGACATAGTCAAGAGCTTAACCCATCAACAGTAGGGATCAGTTTTGGGAACAGTATCAGCCCCAGTAGCCTTAACAACAATGCTTCCTTGGAAATTACTGTAAAAATGAACACACAGATCCAGGATTCATTTTTAAAGTAAATGAAAAATGCTTCTATAGGAGAGGGTGTTCCCAAGAGATCTGTAAGATGTCATCAGATATTAATGATTTTGGGGGGAAGAAAAATGTGGATGAGGGGTTCTTCTGGACATGTAACTTTGGATAGTGTGAGTTAGCAAAGAATAACACTTTCTTAATAAATATTTCTTTGGGATTTAATATGATAAGGAACATTTCTACATGGGTATTAGAATACAAAATTATGCCCCCAAAATGAATACAGAATTATGGTTTGGTTTGGTTTTACTTTTAGATTAAGAAATCAAAGAAAAAAAGATTTATTTGAAAGGCAGAGTTAGAGAGAGAGAGAGAGAATATCTTCTTGCCTCTGGTTTAATCTCCAAATGGCCTCAGTAGTGTCAGCGGTAGGCCAGGTTGACACCAGGACCCTAGGACTCCATCCATGTCTTCCACATGGTTTCTAGGGATCCAAGCACTTTAATCAACTGCTGATGCTCTCCCAGGCATTATAGCAGGGAGCTGGATCAGAAATAGAGCAGCTGGACTCAAACTGATACACACTCACATGAGATGCTGGCCTTGGAGGGAACAGCTTAACCTGCTACTTCAATTGCTTTTCAGAGGCTTCTGATTTATTAAAAAAAACATTTTGGAAATTAATGCTCCAAAGATACAAGTGATCACAAGAAAATTAATTTGACAATATAAATTTAATGACAGTAAATTTCAACACGAAAGAGAATTCTATTTTAATAGCTTTAGAAATGCCATCTGCAGCCCTGCTCATCTCTTTCTGACTCTTTGTATAATCTAAGTTATATACCTACAAATTCATACATTTGTTGTGCGGAGGGGGTCATAGGTTGGGCAGTACTTGTCTCAAAAACTGCTGCCAGCACAGCTTTGGAGTTTGGTGATACCGTCAATTCAGTCCTCAATCACAAAAACAGGAATCCGACCTCCCAACGAGGACATTCAGGTTGGGCCAGAGCAGTGTTGGGTCTTGGCAGAAATGAACAGAATTCCCTTCTGCAGAGTTCTGCACAGACTTTCATTACCTGGGTCATAAATTAATATTCTGTATATCAAAAGCCTTACAAATTGATCTGAAAACATACTCTTTAGTTCCTGCCCCTAACCCTCTCTACACTGCAGAAGAAAAATAAGAGCAAAAGGGACCAAATGCAGAATGAGTGCGAGACCACCCTTGTATTGATTCAGGAAAAATCCAAGACCATCAGTTGGCAAGTCTGAAGGAGGCTCACTGGTCCACAAATTGCAAACAGCCCAGTTCTAACTCACACTTTCTCTTTCTTAATGAGAATAGATAGTAAACAAGAACATGAATGGAGAGAGGGGAAGTGGTATGTGCAAAGGCAGGAACCAGGGGTGAAAATAACTCCATGCATGATATTTAAGGGAAGATGAGTTTACATTTACCCATAAACACCTCTGCCTCAAAGACTGTGACCAGCAGTCTAATCCACCGTTCTTTTTAATCACCAAGTACAGAAGAAAAGATACTGCTTGAAGGAATAGCCTTTCGAACTGTATGCATCCCACACAGGGCAAAATCAGTGAGCGTTCTCTCACTGATTTATTTTACTTATTTGAAAGACAGAGTTACAGAGCAAGGTAGAGCAAAAGAGAGAGAGAGAGACAGAGAGAGAGAGAGAGAGAGAGAGAGAGAGGTAGAAACAGAGAGAGGGGTCCTTCATCTGCTGGTTCACTCCCCAAATGACCACAATGGCCAGAGCTGAGCCAAACTGAAGCCAGGAGCTTCCTCCGGGTCTCCCACATGTGTGCAGGGGCCCAAGGACTTGGGCCATCTTCTACTGCTTTCTCAGACCATAGCAGAGAGCTGGAGCAGAAGTGGAGTAGCTGGGACTCAAACCAGCCCCCATATGGGGTGCCAGCACTGCAGGCCGTGGCTTTAACCCTCTGTGCAAGAGCGCTGGCTCCAAGTGAGTGTTCACTTTATGCTAGGCACTATTCTAGATGGTGCTGACATACCAACAAATCAAGCAAAATCCTTGTCCCCATAGAGCATGTATTCTATTATGATTACCAACAATAAAAGGTCTCTGGTGTTAGGTTTGACGTTGTAGCTGCTTAGATCAGGTTGGAATGAGTTTTTCTAAGGGGCTTGCATCATGGTGCAGTGGGTTAAGCTGCTACCTGTTACAACAGCTTACCATATCAGAATGTCAGGTTGAGTCCTGACTGCTCCACTTCCAATCCAACTCCCTGCTAATGGGCCAGGGAAAGCAGCAGAAGACAGCCCAAGTAATTGGGCCCCTGCCACCCACGTGGGAGACCAAGCTAGAGTTCTTGGCTACTGGTTTCAGCCTGGCCCTGCCCCAACCAATGCGGCCATTTACACAGAGAAGTAGCAGATGCAAGACCTTTCTCTTGGGCTGGCACTGTGGCATAGCAAGTAAAGCCGCCACCTGCAGTGTCAGCATCCCATATGGACACCGGTCAAGTCCCGGCTGCTCCACTTCTGATCCAGCTCTCTGCTGTGGCCTAGGAAAGCACTGGAGGATGGCCCAAGTCCTTGGGCCCCTGCACCCACATGGGAGACCCGGAGGAAGCTCCTGGCTCCTGGCTTTGGATCGGCTCAGCTCCAGCAGTTGCGGCCAACTGGGGAGTGAACCAGCAGATGGAAGACACCTCTCTCTCTCTCTCTCTCTCTCCCTCTCTCTCTCTCTCCTCTCCCTCTCATTCTATCTGTGTAACTCTGACCTTCAAATAAATAAATAAATCTTTTTAAAAAAGACCTTTCTCTCTGCCTCTCTGTCTTTTAAATAAATAAAATAAATATTGTTAAAAAATAAGAGGCTTTTTTTTTTAAGCAATATCAGAGGGGAGGCACATTGCCCAGGAACCACAGTCCAAGACAGAGTCCTTAGGGCTGTCAGGAAAACATGAAGTCTGAAGACACTTGACACTGGCTCCATGGTGTGCAGGTGTATGTGTATGTGTGGCTCTCTATGAACCTGCCACGACTGGAGCAGCTATCAAAGATAATCACACCAAGAAGACTGATGCAAGTTTGCCAATCTCCATCTTTGTTTGAGGCCTGGTTTAAATAAAAATGCAACAAGAAATGAAAATAAATTGATAGCCATGAAGTACTTTGTGAAAGCAACGTTGCTGTCTCTGTTGTAAGTCTGATTAGTTCCATTAACTATTTACAGAAGCTTTGCTAATTGCAAGGGCACTTGGGCAATCCTCAGAGGGTGCATGTTTTAATGAGTAGAAATTCTGAGTCTAATGACACAGTTGTAAAGTATGTTGGGGGAGTAAAGTGGTGAAGGAAATTTGCAGGTCCTGAGAGTGCTTGCCTGGTTTAAAGACAGCCCCTGAACTTGCACTCAGGACTGTGCCCCTGGTCTCAACACAGTTCACTGAACCAGGAGGACACCACATCCAAGTTTGGAAAACTAGAGGCCATTTGTAACTGTAGCTATCTAACTCCTTAGAATGTGATCATCTCTTAATTCTCTGATTAACTGATGAGAGATTGTTGTCCTCATTTTAAGACACAAACTTTTCACAATGGACTTTCTCCATCCCCAAGTACAAATGATGATGCCTTCCTTTTCCATGATCAACAATTTGGCAGTACTCCAAAGCTGATTTGAGAAGATAAGCTCTCTGAACCCCATGGCAAAACTCTAGTCCACCATATCTAACTCATGCTCTGAGTTCATTAAGAAAAAATAATAATAGGCCGGCGCCGCGGCTCACTGGGCTAATCCTCCGCCTAGCGGCGCCGGCACACCGGGTTCTAGTCCCGGTCGGGGTGCCGGATTCTGTCCCGGTTGCCCCTCTTCCAGGCCAGCCCTCTGCTGTGGCCAGGGAGTGCAGTGGAGGATGGCCCAGGTGCTTGGGCCCTGCACCCCATGGGAGACCAGGAAAAGCACCTGGCTCCTGGCTCCTGCCATCGGATTAGCGCGGTGCGCCGGCCGCAGCGCGCTGGCCGCGGCGGCCATTGGAGGGTGAACCAACGGCAAAGGAAGACCTTTCTCTCTGTCTCTCTCTCTCACTGTCCACTCTGCCTGTCAAAAAAAAAAAAAGAAAGAAAGAAAAAATAATAATAAATAGGTGGAGTCCCCGAATTTCTTCCAAAAATCAGAAGCTCCACAGATATGGTTTAGTCCTGGGAATGTACCCATCCAGAAGATTCACAAAGATGCTTCAACCATATACCTGACATCAGTCTTCAGCAAATACAGACAACTGACTAGGTCTTTACAAGAACAGTATTGTACAAAAAACCCTTCCAAATTGCATTCACTACAGCCTCCAATCACAAGTGTTAGTGAAGTTGAGATCAGCTGCAACTAGACCAACATCCCTCTGCTCTGAAGACCCCCTGTATATTCAGGAAGAATAATGACCAAATAAAATTCTCCCAGAGGATGGAACTGTGGCCAGAAACTCACTTTATAACTCAATAAACTAGTCAACAAGTTAATGGTGATGAAAGTGACCATTCCTTTCAGTTATTTTATCATACCATGCAAGCTCCCAGTCTCATGACCAACACATGAATGACAAGGTCTTTGTTCATCTTTTTCTCCTTTTGGAAGTATGGAGAGTTGATCAAGACAGAAGTAGAGAAGGAACATATATAGATTGAGCATATTTACTCCAAACATACAAAATCCGATACGCAACAAAATATTAAACCTTCTGAGCATCAACTTGATACTACAAGTGGAAAATTACACATCTGACTTCATGTGATGGTCATATTCAAAACTAAGATGCACTAAAATAATTGTATAAAACTACCTTCAGGCTTCATAGATATACTCATGTCTGTGAAACAGAAATGAATTTTGTGTTTAGACTTGTATCCTATTCCCAAAATATTTCATTATGTATATGCAAATATTTAAAAATCTGAAAAACACTGAAATCTAAAAATGCTTCAGGTCCCAAGAACTTCAGAAAAGGGATACTCAACTTACAGTACCCAGAGATAATGGGCTCTGCAAATAACAGCTTCAGAACATAATTTGCAGATGAGTGAAAGACTTGAGTTTGGTTTGATTCTTCTCTAGCAAGCACCGAGTGTGTCTGCAGTTGTGCCTGTATCGTGCTAAGAGGTTCATTTCAATACAGCTGGTGGCTAGCGTGTGGGGGCATTCAAAGAGCAGATTGTGGTAGTGTCACAGATCAAGCACCTAAGGGCAGAACCCAAGAAGGGATATTTGGTGCAAGCCATTATGAACTAAGGGTTCTCATGAGGCACCTGTAAGAGTTTGGGAGGAGCCCTTTCAAGGAGGTAAAAACGATGTGGTTTCCCTTGAAGTCTGGGGAAGTCCGGACAATAAATCATCCCACAGTTTGCTCAGTCATAGAGCAAGAATACATGACCTTGATACCCATATGCCAAACAGTTGCTGGCTAAATAACGCAGGAAATGGTTAAAAAAATCAAGGGTTCCTCCATGTGGAGGCAGCTCCATTCATCCAAGACCAATCATTAGGGAAGGCTGCAGGTCTGAGCATTAATAGTAAAATCCTCCGAAATCCTCCTTCACAGTAATGTGTATGTTTCATTTTGTATTCAAGTACACAACCACAAAACCTCAGCAAACAATGAACAGAGTCACTAGCAAGGAATCATCAGTGAGGAGCTATTGAGTTCCTTTCAAACATCTTTGTTTCTTTCTCTCATCAAATTGTCCTATCAAGTTTTTGTGAATTCTTTGGTTTCAGAAGAGCATTTCCCATATGATACTGAAATGACAATTTTGATCTTTCCCTATCAACATGGCATGTGTCAGGCATGTGTCAGGCAATGAGAGACAGCAGATGCTGCCGTCTCATCTCGGGAGAACTCTTCAGTGTGACAGGGGATGTTTGACTTGAGTTCTTGCCTGCTCCATCCCTTGCATCTTTTGGATTGTGCTCTTGGCCTTCCAGCCATCTGACCACTGCTCTCACTCTGATTATGTTGGCCTAGCAGTATCTCCTAGTAATTCTGACTGTCCTCTCCAGTCACCTGCATCAGATGTGGTCTGGGGATGAGATCAAGGACAAATGATGCAGGCAATGGTGCTGGTGTCAAAAACACATCAGGAGGGGCCGGTGCCATGGCACAATAGGTTAATCCTCCGCCTGTGGCACTGGCATCCCGTATGGGTGCTGGTTCTAGTCCCAGCTGCACCTCTTCAAATCCAGCTCTCTGCCATGGCCTGAGAAAGCAGTAGAAGATGCCCCAAGTCTTTGGGCCACTGCACCTGTGTGGGAGACCAAGAAGAAGCACCTGGCTCCTGGCTTCAGATCACCGCAGCTCCAGCCATAGCAGCCATCTGGGGAGTGAACCAATGGACAGAAGACCTTTCTCTCTGTCTCTCTGTCTCTCTCTCACTGTGTAACTCTACCTATCAAATAAATAAATAAATAAATAATAAAAAAACAAAAGGAACAAAGGCAGACCATGAAAAATATGGCACATTGGTCTTGAAGATGAGAAATTTCAGGCCAGGCCATGCTTTATCTCTTGGACTCCTTATGGTTCTTCCTAATTTTTTTCAGCCATAGTGAATGTCTGATAACTAATTTTGGTCAAAAGAAGCACCAGTTGGAGCTGAAACTTGAACATTATCAATTACATCATGACTGAAAGTAGAAAGGGGATTTGAAATGTCCTTCAAAACATTTGGATGAAAATGAAATTAAAATATAAGTTTATTTTGTTTGCAGCGATTTTTTATGATACTCATTTTCTACCAACTTTTTGAAGATCCTTCATATGTATTAATTTCCAAAAAACTTCCACCAAAAAAAACTTACCTCCCCCCGCCCCCCACTTTCAACATTTTGGCTCCCAGTGATTTTTTTCCAAAGAAATCTTTTATTTAATGAGTACAAAGTTCATAGGTACAACTTTAGGAATATACTGGTTCTTCTGCCCATACCCACCTTTCCATCCCCACTCCTATCTCACCTCCTCTTCCCTCTCCCATGCCCAGTTCCATTCTCCATTAAGATTCATTTTTAGGCTGGCGCCATGGTTCAATAGGCTAATCCTCCGCCTGCGGCGCCAGCACACCGGGTTCTGTCCCGGTTGCTCCTCTTCCAGGCCAGCTCTCTGCTGTGGCCCGGGAGTGCAGTGGAGGATGCCCCAAGTCCTTGGGCCCTGCACCCCATGGGAGGCCAGGAGAAGCACCTGGCTCCTGGCTTCAGATCAGTGTGGTGTGCTGGCTGCAGCGCGCCAAACCACCAACGGAAAAGGAAGACCTTTTTCTCTGTCTCTCTCTCTCTCTCACTGTCCACTCTGTCAAAAAAAAAAAAAGATTAATTTTAATTAACTTTATACACAAAAGACCAACTCTATGCTAAGTAAAGATTTCAACAGTTTGTACACACACACACACACAAAATATAAAAAAAATGAGAACAAATTTTACAGTTAATTCTCACAGTGCAACTTACTTGAGGACAGAGGTCCTGTATGAAGAGTATGTGCACAGTGAGTTCTGTTTTAATTTAACAATGAATACTCTTATGTATCATGTCAGTGATCACCCAAGGCTCTTGATATAAGCTGTCGAGGCTATGGAAGTCTTTTGAGTCTGCAATCTCCATCAGTATTTAGACAAGGCCATAAGCATAGTTGAAGTTTTCTCCTCCCTTCAGTGAAAAGCACATCCTTCGTTGATGGCCCCTTCTTTTCCCCTGAGTCCTCACTCACAGAGATCCTTAATGTAGAACTTTTTTTTTTTTTTTTTTGCCACAGTATCTTAGATTTCCATGCTTGAAATGCTCTCATGGGCATTTCCGCCAGATCAGAATGCCTCACGGGCAGATTCTGAGCTCTGAGTGCTGTTTAGAGCGTTTCTTATTCTGCGAGTCTGCTATGTGGATTGCGTCCATGTTGGAACATCCTCTCCTTTTTAATTCTATCTATTGTTTTTACCAGACCCTTGACCTTATTTATATGATCCCTTTAACATTTAATCCTATATATACGATCAATTAAACACTTCATATGATCACTTTAACATTGAAGATGTCATTGTTACCACCCAGCTTAATGGGATTTGGAGTCCCATGACAAGCTTTTAGCTGTACACTTAGAAGTAAGTCTGTAGGAATGTATACAGAACTATATAGCTCCTTCCTCTCTTATTCTCACTCTTATTTTTTACTGGGATCTACTTTCAATTGACTTTACATGCACATAATCACATAATTAATTCTAGGTTGAATGAAGAGTTCACCCAAGGTTACTAAGAAAGAAAGAAAAAACTAATCCTTGACAGTCAAAACAAGGGCTATTCAAGTCATTGCTTCGTTTTTTTTTTTTTTAAGAATTATTTTATTTATTTGAAAGATTAGAGTTACAGAGAGAGGTCTTCCATCTACTGGTTCACTCCCCAGATGGCCGCAACGGCCAGAGCTGCGCCGATCCGAAGCCAGGAGCCAGGAGCTTCTTCTAGGGCTCCCACATGGGTGCAGGGGCCCAAGGACTCTGGCCATCACAGAGAGCTGGATCGAAAGAGGAACAGCCAGGACTAGAACTGGCGCCCATATGGGATGCAGGCGCTTCAGGTCAGGGTTTTCACCAGCAGTGCCATGGCAGCGGCCCCAAGTCATTGCTTCTAATAGTGTCAATTTCACTTCTACAGGTTTCCTTTTAGGTGCTCTGTGAGTTCTCACAGATCAGGGAAAACATATGGTATTTGTCCCTTTGGGACTGGCTTATTTCACTAAGTGTGATGTTTTCCAGATTCATCCATTTTGTTCCAAATGACTGGATTTCATTTTTAACCATTGTGTAGTATTCCATAGAGTACATATCTTATAATTTCTTTATCCAGCCTTCAATTGGTGGGCATTTAGGTTGATTCCATGTCTTAGCTATTATGAATTGAGCTACAATAAACATGGGGGTGCAGATAACTCTTTTATTTGCTGATTTCATTTCCCTTGGGTAAATCCCGAGGAGTGGAATGGCTGGGTCAGATGGTAGGACTATTTTCAGAATTCTGAGGTATCTCTAAACTGTCTTCCATGGTGGTTTTACCAGTTTATATTCCCACTGACAGTGGATTAAGGTACCTTTTTCCCCACATCCTCACCAGCATTTGTTGTTTGTTGATTTCTGTATGAAAGCCATTCAGCCTGGGTTGAGGAGAAATCTCATCGTGGTTTTGATTTGCTTTTCCGTGATGGCTAGTGATCCTGAGCTTTTTTTCATAGGTCTGCTGGCCATTTGGATTTCCTCTTTTGAAAACTCTTTGTTTTAAGTCTTTTCCCCATTTCTTAATCAGGTTGTTTGTTTTGTTGTTGTGGAGTTTCTTGATCTCATTATATATTCTGGTTATTAATCCTTTATCAGTTGCATGGTTTGCAAATAATTTCTCCCATTCTGTCAGTAGCCTCTTAATGTTCCTGACTATTTCTTTTGCAGTACAGAAACGTCTCAATTTGACGAAATCCCATTTGTTAATTTGGCCTTGATTGCCTGTGCCTCTGGGGTCTTTTTCTGGAAATATTTGCCTGTGCCAGTGTCTTGCAGGGTTTCCCAATGCTTTCTAATAATTTGATGGTATGAGGTCATAGATTTAGGTCTTTAATCCATTTTGAATGGATTTTTGTATAAGGTGTAAGGTAGGGGTCCTACCTCATGCTTCTGTGTGTGGAAATCTAGTTTCCCCTGCACCATTTGTTGAAGAGATGGTCCTTGCTCTAGGAATTGATCTTAGATCCTTTGTCAAAGATAAGTTGGATGGAGATGCTTAGATTGATTTCAGACATTTCTATTCTGTTTCTTTGGTCTACTCATCTGTTTTTACAAGTACCAGGATGTTTTGATTATAATTGCCCTATAGAATGCCTTGAAATCTGATATTGTGATGCCTCCATCTTTGTTTTGTTGTATAAAATTGTTTTAGCTATTCGGGGTATCCTGTGTTTCCATATGAATTTCAGAATCATTTTTTTATATCTGAGAAGAATCTCCTTGGTATTTTGATTGGACTTGCATTGAATCTGTAAATTGATTTTGGAAGTATGGACATTATGATGATATTGATTCTTCCAGTTCACAACATGGAATTTTTTTCCAGTTTTTTGTGTCTTCTATTTCTTTTTTTTTATAATTCTCATTATAGAGATCTTTAACACCCTTAATTAAATTTATTCCATGGTATCTGATATTTTTTGGTAGCTATTGTGAATGCGATTGATCTTTGAAGTTCTTTCTCAGCTGTGGCTTTGTTTGTATATACAAAGTCTATTGTTTTTTGTGTGTTGATTTTATAACCTCCTATTTTACCAAACTCTTCTGTGAGTTCCAATAGTCTTTTGGATCTGCTATATAGAGAATCATGTCATCTGCAAATGGTTTGACTTCCTCTTCCCCGATTTGAATGTCTTTGATGTCTTTCTTGCCTAATGGATCTGGCTAAAGTTCCCAAGACTATATTGAATAACAATGGTGAGAGTGGGCATCCTAGTCTGGTTCTGGCTCTCAATCCCACTGATCTTAATGTCAGAAAGTCTTTTCAAGGCTTGAATGAAGCTCTGTCTCCCCATATCAGCTCAAGGCTTCCAGTCTTCCCTCTGGAACAGCACAATTTAGGTTGATTTTCTTTCATGTGAGTAAGAATTTCATGTTCAAAAACCATAATCAGCAATCTTGTTAGGTAGCACCCATACTAAATACCCTCCTCATCTTTCAATGATTCCATTTGTGGCATAGTTTTCTAACCTTCAGTATCCTGAGGGGCCTAAGAGAACTACTCAAATATGAAATAGACAACTTCAATTACACCTTGTAACTTTGAGTTGAGTAGAAAATATTCACTATTTCCTTTAAAAAGGACATTAAAAATTTGAAGTTTTTTTTTATTTTTAGAGTTGATATTTTGAATTATTTATCTTACTTTAAAATCTAAAAATATTCCCTTTAAATCTTTTTTTTTAACTTTTATTTAATGAACATAAATTTCCAAAGTACAGCTTATGGATTACAATGGCTTCCCCCCAATAACATCCCTCCCACCCACAACCCTCCCCTTTCCCACTCCTTCTCCCCTTCCATTCACATCAAGATTCATTTTCGATTCTCTTTATATACAGAAGATCAGTATTCCCTTTAAATCTTAATCTCAGAGCCAGCATTGTAGTACAGCCGGTTAAGGTGTTGCTGTGATGCCGGCATTCCACACCAGAGTGCCATTGTGCTTCCAATCCAGATCCCTAGGTGTTGCAGTGGATGATGTCCCAAGTGCTTGTGTCCTTGCCATCCACATGGGAGCCCTGCATGGAGTTTTGGGCTTTGGCCTGACCCAGACCTTACTGTTGCAGCCATGTGGGGAATGAATCAGTGGACAGTTTCTCTCTGTGTCTTTCCCTCTATCTCTCAAATAAATAAAATAAAACCTTTCAAATACTTAGTCTCTTTCCTAATTTCTCAATCCTACTTCAAGCAACAGCCGCCCCAAAGCATGTCTCATCAAAGTGCACAGAAAAGCCTTATCACCCAAACCCTGACGCAGTCTTCTTAGCCATGTCTACGACCAAAGCATTTTCATTCATGCTACTGCTGGTAAGTTTCAGGCACCAAGCATTTCCTAAATCATGATGGTACTGGGCCAGTTTCCAAAGGCCGCCTGAAAAGTTCATCTTGAATAAAAATGCTTGAAAGCAGCAACTAATCTGTAATTATAGCCTATTTATTCTTCTCAGCCATAGCCCCAGACAATCAAGGAGAAGGAATAGCTGGTTTACAACTGCACGTCTGTTTTCCAGCAACACACACTGGACTGCTTGTTTGCGATGTAAAAGGAAGACAGATCCAAATCTCTATATCCTGAGACTGATTACCTGTTTTAAATGTGATAACCAACTACACCCCAACTGTCACAACTCTCATTTCCTCACTGTAATTTCAATCATCCACTGGATGTCCTCACAGAATTAGCAGCTGCTGCAACTTCATCACAGTTCCAGTTCTTCTGGCCAAGTCCAGTACTGTTTCCCCATACATAGTAAACACACATTCCTCCCATTGCACTTCGTCTACAGGTAAATCTCACAGATTGTTACCTGTTTAAACCAGACAACAACATGCATAGATGTAGTATAGAAGTTGGCACAACATCCAAATTTGACCTAGATTTGACATATAGATATTACATTATCACTAGACATACAGGAGTCCTTCAAAACATTTGTGGAAAGGAGACAGAGAAAAATGGCAACTAAGTAAGACGCTCCAGTGATTGTTTTTCTATAGAGACAATAACTTGAGCAGCAATTCACATA